AACATTCCTTCTTGTCCATCACTACTGTGGCGCCTCCTATGTCGTCTTGTAGAACGAATTAAACATTTTGCATTAATTTTCTGTATAACTTGGTTATATCACTCCTATTCGTAGATACGTTATGTGCCAAGATTATTGATATGATTTCCATTTTCAGTACTCCTTTTGATTCTTATGGGATTAAATTTTGAATATTAGAATGAAAGGAAGGTAATTAAAGACATCTTAGTGAAGGTGATAAATACCCCTGAAAAGCTATTGGAAGAGTCAGAAAGAGAAATGGAGGTATAGAATAAACAGAGTAAAATAGGGAATATTTTAAGGGACATTACAACTTATCGGCCGTTAATAAAATAATCAACAGTTGAAATCAAAGGAACACTAAGAAAAATACTGAAGGAAATAAATACGAACAGGGAGATCGACAAATTGACAATGAATTTACTCTTACGAAAGGATGCGATAGCCCCAATAGCATACCGTTTGACCGAAGTACACAATAGAAAACAAATGAGACTGAGTCAACAGCACACAAGGAGTAACACATAAACTGACGAGATTTATCTGCCTTAAATTAAAGAAGGTGAATGATAGATTTACGAATAAAATGAAGAATAAATAGAAATTTTTCTAAAGAATCAAAGTCACGAGTTTGGAGGGAAGCGAGCTATTAGTGCGCTTTGAGGTAAAAGCCATGGACGGCTACTTTTAGGATAAAAAGCGCTCACAGCACTAATGGAGAGGCGACAGTATGAAGATGGAGCAAATCCAAAAAGTTAATAATTCGAACAATGAAATGGATTTTTTCATAAATCTGGTTTATAAACCGCTGAAAATCCTCCAGTTTTTTCTTCCATGCTACCAAAGAATCCAATTCACAATGAGGTAGAAGAAAAGGAGCAGTCATCTTTCCTAAAGGTTGAAGTCACTTGCTCTAATAAGCCAGTCAAAAAGTTGTTCCGAAAGAAGTAATATGTCGAAATAATATTAAATTTCTGGTCTAATCACAATTACAAAATGAGGATAGGAATAATGAGCATGAGCATCATTAGCCTACGATTGACGGACGTGGAATTCTGGGATGACGAATTGGATAAATTAATCTGAATATTCCTCGGTAATGGATAACCAAGAGAAGTAATACAAACATACTGGCCGTGAAGAGACGATGACACGACGGGGATCATAAAAGAAATGCAAAGATGGCGAAAGACTCACAAAAGTGGATATGTCACCCTTCCTGAAAACTAGCTTAAAAACTACGGCCAATATTGAGAAAATAGAATAATCAGGTGACCAAGAAGGAAAAAACGACACTTCACAATTTTACTCACGCAACATGAGACTGTAGACAAATTTGGTTGCTCAGGAGTTTACTGCATAGCATGCTGCACCTACGAACATAAGCATATTGGCGAAACCGGGAGGAAAATCAGCATACGAATCGAGGAACATCAAAGGTTCTGCAGCAAAATGGATATTGAAAAATCAGATATAGCGGAACATATCGCACAGACTGGACACGAGATCAATTGTAAGGCAAATAAAAGAAGCGCTTTATACGGTGCAAACATAAGAAAACGGAAGATTAGGGAAATCATTGATATCCTCGAGACAGAACAGTAAAAAAAAAGAGGCTTGGACCAAGGACATCAATTCAACAACAGGAAAATATATCGCAAAGAATAGGAGCATGAGGGACAAAGTGGAGTAAAGAAAAGGCGATTGGAATAAGTCAAATCTGGAATCAGCCTGAGGCTACTAATGTGGATCCATGAGTGGGTTAGGAAATTAAAGACCATAAACATGCAAATTGTGCATGTATGTTAAGGATCTAGGTCCATTACAAATTCATCAGGATGTGGAAACCAGGATAGGGAGCATAATATCAGCTGGTCCCTAGTGTGCGTGCACGCGTGCAATTTTCGTGTGTGCCTGTAGGGAAAGGTGACTGGTCACATGTCTGGTCATTACTCCTCGCCACTACCTAAAGTTAGGCATGAATTTACTGAACATTTGTCGACTTCCAAGTTCATGCTCACTTCCTTCAGCATTTCTTGCCGGGCCCCTTTGATGTTAACTGTTGGGTCGTTTGAAAGCAGGCCAGACAATATTTTCTATTTTATTTGGATATTTCTTGATGCAAATCACTACTGTGACACCTCCTTTGTCGGCTTGCAGAACTATTTGGTCGCCTAATCGAAAGTATGAAAACAAAGATAATGTGTCCTTGTGTACGGTCGCTGTCTCCTTTCTTTGTATAGACGTTGCATGACCTTGTTTTCGCAACCTGAACATATTGACAGGAAGACCTAGAGGAATGCACCTTGTCCGAAGTCTATAGTATGCATAATAATTTCCAGAGTCTATACATTCCAAGACGATTTGCTTTGACATTCTTAGCAACAAACTACGGTTCATCAAAAAGCTATTAACCTATCATATATCCTTGTATGACTCCTTTAATATCAAAATTTGTAGACCTATTTGAAACTTGTCTCTTTGACGAGTCGTAGTGTGATGTTAAGAATGGCAAGGCTCACTGACGATGCCGGCGAAACGTCTTGGAATGCACCAAGTCCACGGTCCGACTTTGGAAATTATCCTGACAAGATAAATTCGTTGTATAGAAATTGTTTGATCTTGTTTTTGCAACTTGGTCATATTGGCAGGAAGACCTAGAGGAATGCAACTTGTCCGGAGTCCATAGTATGCATAATAATTTTCAAAGTCGGACCGTGGACTTGGTACATTCTCAGACGTTTCGCCGGCATAGTAGTGTGCCTCGTCAGTAAGCCTTGTCATTCTTGGCACCACACTACAACTCTTCAGAGACAAGTTTCACATAGGTTTAGATAACAAGTAAGAAATTGTGATAATGAAGAGGTGATGCGAGGATATAAAATAGGTGAATAGCTCGAGACAGGAGAGACGGCACAACTGTTTAGCAGACAATTGGTCAAAGAATCGACTTCACTTGTCTCCTTGACGAGTTGTAGCGTGGTGCTAATAATTGCAAGGCTCATTGACGATGCCAGCTAAGCGCCTGATAATGCACCAAGCCCACGGTCTGATGCTGCGAATTATGATAACTACTATGGCAGATAACTTCGGACAAGGTGCGTTCTACTAAGTACCCCTGACATCAAGACCAAGTTGCGAAAACGAGGTCAGTCCACTTCTGTATATAATCATTCATACTGCGGGCTCCGGACAAAGTGCGTTCCCCTAGGTCTTTCTGCCAATATGACCAAGTTGCGAAAACAAGGTCAAACAACTTATATCTGATCGTATATTTTAACATTTCTATAATATCTTGGTTATATCGTTGCAATTCATAGATCAAAATTTTTAAAATGATTTCCATTTCCAGTTTTCTATTTGATATTTCAAGTAGCTTCACAGAATAATTCATCCCTTCCACTAAAATGTCCTTCCATGCCTTCCTTGCATCCAGAAGTGCAATAAAAAATGGAAGTTAAATTGGTAAATGAGCCTTATTATGTGGGATTCGGAGAAAGCTATACAGCATTATAAAGAGTGTTTGAACAGAAAATTGGTCGAAGGGATTGCTTGCTTTTATGTGCTGAGAATGGTGGCTCTCACTAGTAATGTTGACTACAATGTCAACGAAATTTCTGAAATTGTACCGAGTAAACAGTCTAATGCTGGAAATCATCATGAATAATATGATAGAGGGCGCTAAGATGCACAAGGTCGCTTTCTTTATCTGACCAAGTTGCAAAATGGGACAAACAAGAACAATATATATATAATTTTTCAGTTTTATGACTAGGGTTTAGTGACTACCAGTCGATTGTCATAGCAAATATAACTTTGCTGCATCGACAATCCCACCAAAGAATGTGATATGGGAAAGTGCCTTGCTCTCGTTGAAATTCACATCATCCCTCTGACCTAAGGACACTCATAGCAATGTAGCGTAGTTATTAACGTATCGAGATTACAATGTCATGATTCGACTCACGCTGGGACTATTGATAAGGCCTAGGAAAAGTCGAAAGTGCAGTCCACCCTGGCTGAGAACACGTTTAGGGAAAGCAAGGATATATGAAATTCAATGGAGACGTCAGCTCTACTCATAGCATTGTGGGAAAATTCCACTATCAGTCCTTCATCATCATAAACGAAATATGGTAAATACATCTCATATATATAAATAATAAGTTTAGCAGATGGAAGGCATATCAGGCTGAAACGCGTGCAGATTTTGGGATAGGAAAATTAAAAAAAACCTAGGAATTCAACAAGTTGTCAGGGTGGAGAGGAATAAACCTACCATGGCTGCGCAGAAAAGCGACCTGCTCTAGACTAATCCAATCGGCTTGACGGGTCTCAGATTTGTCCGAGGCTACAACAACCCGACATACGTGGTGTCCTTGCATATTGGTAAAATTACTGCTGGTTACTAGAGCAATCCTACTGATCGGGTCGTAAGCAACTATGCTACAATAGAATGGCCAGCCACCCGGAGATTTGTGCCACGTCACACGAGCAGCCTCTTCGCGACCGCTGCACTGGGCATGTCCAGTAGGAAGATCGAAAGATGTTTGGGAAGATGAGGATGGAGGCGGAGAGATTGGGAAGTGGAGTCGAGAGAGCTCACGAGTCCGTTGGTCTGTGTCGTAGCAGAGACCAGGGCAACAAGCACTAAGCGATGAGTTTATTAAGTAAGAGGAAGATGGGCAATCGGAAGAGAAGGATTGGCCATCTTCTGACCTCTTCCCAGTTGGTCCCGTCAAGCGAGAAACTTGGCCAATTGAAGGGGCTGCGTAGCTGACGGCAAAGCTGGGAATAATGAGCCAACAAAATGGCAGGGGAACAGTTTCAAAGTCTTATTCATGCTAGAAAGGGAAGTAAAACTCTGGGACATAAATTTGGTGAAACAAAAAAATTCTGTAGAGCGAATAAAACTAGTTCAAGACAAGCCAACATAAAAAACAGTAAGGCAGAAAGTTGTTCAATTAAAAGATTTACTTTCTTAAAGGAGTTTTAAGTAAATAAAGGAATAGCTGAAAACGCGTTTTAAAGAGGCAATTCTACTGGCTAGGCAAGTCAAAACAAAAATTTTAGTAATAATCTAGATGTTGTGGCCTCTATTTTGGTCGGTCTCCTTTCGATGTATATTAGTTGATTGACCTTGTTTTCGCAACTTGATCATATTGGAAGGAAGACCTATAGGAACGCACCTTTTCGGAGTTAATAGCATAAATCATAATCCCCAGAGTTGGATCCTGAACTTGGTACATTACCAGACATTTCTTCGGCATCGCCAGTGAGTCTTGCCAATCTCAGCACTAAACTACAAATCGTCAAAGAGACAAGTAAAGTCAATCCTTTGACCGGCTTTCTGTCGAAATGGTTGTGCTATCACTTCTCGTTCTGTCCTGGTCCCTCTATCCATTTCCTACCCTCTTGTCTCGCCCTCGTCTTATCACAACATCTGGCATGTTTAAATTCTAAAAAAGATGTGCTTTCGTCGAATTCACCCTGGCGTCATCACACTTACTGTCTGCCTCGCTCCCCTCCATTTCGAGTGGCCGATCCGACTTGAGCCTTCTGTCCGGATGTGCCTAATGGGCCCGTACGCCCGTTTCTGGTTGACCGATTTCACTCGGTTCCAGCCCCAATATACTTCTACTTCAGGTGCCATTTCTCAAGTTTTCAGTAGCACCTGTAAAGTCGCCTTATCTGCAGAGCGCCTAGGCTTTGATTCACATGCTTGCGAATGGTAGGCCTTACCTTCACGCATCATCCCCTACATTGAACCCGTGTACCCTGAGAAATATGTAAACATCTATTTCTGTTCGCCTCCTGCATCTAAAGTGGATTATTAGTTAATTTGGTCAAAATAGACGGTTTCAGTTGACCAATCCGTCACCCTAGTTACGTGAGACGTCATGCCACCAAAGTTGCAGTTCTTTATTCGAGCTGACTACACTCACTGAGACCGTCTTCGATTTATTTCCGAAACTTCCTCAACTCCTTTTCTCTGGTTTTCGATATATTCTTGATCCAGACGTCTCCGCTTTGCTTGCCTTGTTTGCAGTCCTCTAATCTTCTGTTTCTTTGTGATTTCACCGTATGAGCTCCCTCCTTCTGCTGCCTTCCAATTGACTTGATGTCCAGTTTGTGCGATATCTTCCGCTATATCTGGTCTTTCAGTATCCATTTTCCTGCAGAGTCTATTATGTTCATAGATTCGTATGCTGATCTTTCTCCGAGGTCGCCAATATATTTATGTTTGCAGGTGCCGCATGCTGTGCAGTAAACTCCTGAGCAATCAAATTTGCCTACCGTCTCATGCTGAGTTGGTAGATTTTAAAAGTGTTCTTTTTTCATTCGTGGTCA